GGCGCTCTACACGTGCTGTGTCAAGGCGCTCTACACGTGCTGTGTCAAGGCGCTCTACACGTGCTGTGTCAAGGCGCTCTACACGTGCTGTGTCAAGACGCTCTACACGTGCTGTGTCAAGACGCTGCATTCCCGGGACCTGGCTGACCTACCGGACACAAAATGGAGAGACCATTTCTCCCCCTTCATAGCGGCCGCCCCCCAGTGGAAACAAATGTACAAGTCTCCCGTAGCCAAACGCTTCGTTGACCTCCAGTGGAGATTGGCACACTGCACGTTGCCATCGGCCGTGTGGCTCAGCCGAATCTCGCCGGGGGTAACAGACTTGTGCATTTCCTGCGGTGCCAGGGAGGATCTGCCCCACGAGTACATACGCTGCCAGTACCTCAAACCAATGTTCCGCCTTTTTGGGGAAATCTTCAGGAGACTGGGGGTGTCCTTCTACAACAGCAGCTTCGTATATGGGGTGGTGCCTTACCTGGCTAACAAGCGCCATGACCTCGCTAACTTCGCCTGTGCTCAGGCGAAGATGGCGGTGTACAGAACGAGGAAAAAGATGCTGGAAGGTGACACTGACGGCTGCTCTGTGCTTCCAGTGTTCAGGGGCCTGCTCAAGGCGCGGCTCCGGTTGGAGCACGCGTACCAAACACATGGCGGTGATGTTCGCGTCTTCTTCGAACGCTGAGAAGCCGGACTAGCCCCTCTCTGTACCAGCGTGGACGGCCCCTCGTGTTCACCTTCTGAAGCGCTCGCTCGTCGCCGTGGCTCGCGCGATGACCACCACCACGTGACTTTTATTTTGTGTTGTGCGTGTCGTATTTAGCGCCACAGCGCGTGGATTTATAGCGTTTGTTATTTGTTTGCTGATGACTTTGTGTATTTCGTATCAAAATCGCCTCCAGTGCTGTTGCTGCTGGCGGCAATAACAGTTGTTTAAAAGTCTCTGAGTCATCTTCTCCTCTCTCTCTGAGTCGCCCTCTCTCTCTCTCGGAGTCGTCCTCTCGATCAATCTGAGTCGTTCTCTCTCTCTGAGTCGTCTTCTCTCTCTCTCTCTGAATCATCCTCTCTCTGAGTACCTCTCTCTCTCTCTCAGTCGTCCTCTGCCTGTCTCTCACTCGGGGTGAGATCAATCTGTGTAGCATCGCGCTACGAGCTGAGATGATCAACATTATTCATCAATACTATAATTCATGATGAATCATAATATTAATGATTAATAATATTTATAATATTATTCTGCGCTTGCTGCTGCTGCGTTCTGCCCGAGGCGATGTCGCCAAAGCCACTGAACGTGCCCACAGCCACGGAGCAAAATGCAAATCGAGCATTCAAGTCCCGTACGCTGTCTCAGCAAACACTCATTATATCATCCGTATGTATATAGGCACAAAAGACAAACATCCCCCGTATAGGCTATTAACAGACTGTTGGGGAAAGCGTTGTTAGCGAGTAGCACCTATGAAGACGACACGGCACACAAACGGATATGCGTGGCCATCACCACGCCCGGCCGCCTTTGTCTCCCCGGGTGGTGATTTTTAGACACATCGCAACCGGGTACTCGTTTGAGGCTGAGCCAACCTAGTGGAGGCCTATGACCAGTTTAGATAATCGTCACTGGTGTGGGTGACCATGAGCGGGAAACGAACTCGGGTCGCCGGGTTCGTAGCGCAGCGCACTAACCGCTACACTACCGCTCCCTATGTGTATTTAGACACATACACACACACATACGTATAGTATATGGACTCTCTGGGAGGGTGAGTGAGTGTGTGTGGATATTGTGGGGAGCAGTGGCGTAGCGGTTAGTACGCTACTATTACGAACCCGATGACCCCGAGTTGGATTTCCGCTCACGGCCACCAGTGACGATTATCTTCGTCGGTGCTGGCCTCCCATAGGTCGACTCAGCATCAAATGAGCACTTGGTTGCGATGTGTAAAAACTTCGCACACTCGGGAAACAAAGGCGACCGGGCGTGGTGCTGGTCATCCACTTCATCGTGTGCAGTTCCGGCCATCAATAGTGCTCGCTAACAGAGCTTACCCCAGCAGGATGTTCAGGCTACAGGAAGAGGATCCATCTTATTGGTTCTTTCGGTAAAGTCACGTAGAATGGGAATAATAAAATAAAAAAATAAAACATAATAAAATAATTCTCACGACGTTTCGGCCACAACGCAAGCAGCCGTCCTCAGGTGGAGACCAGGTCTGTCAGAGTCGACAGACCTGCTCTCCACCTGAGGACGGCTGCTTGCGTTGTGGCCGAAACGTCGTGAGAATTATTTTATTATGTTTTATTTTTATTATTTTATTATTTCCATTCTACGTGACTTTACCGAAAGAACCAAGAAGATGAATCCCTGCAGTCACGAAAGCTTCAAATAGGAAGAGGATCGTTGATTCCCAGCAATAGAGCGCCACGTTATAGTGACGCAACATGAGCGAGATATTCACTACCTCGCCTGGTGTTCAAGAGGTCGTGGTTTCGACCCCAACCCTGACGCCTTTTGTATATTTGCAGTTTGATTCTCTCTCTCTCCTCGTGGTCGCGTGGATTTTTCTCTGGGTTTTCCCTCCACCTTTAATTATAATCAACATCACGTGTTTAGAGTATTTGACTGATTCTATACATGTCCACGTGATAAGCCACTTCGTTGAGCTATCATTTGTGGCCAGATCGCTTCTGAAAAAGAGCTACATAGCTCAGTGGGCCTTACCCTGTTAAAAAATATAAAACAATGTATGTGTGTCTTTGTCTTGTGTGTCTCTGTGTGGTCGCGGTGTTGGCCACCCACCCCCTCCTGAGCCCTACCGGCCTTCATAAATGCTAAGAGCTAACAGCACTTGCCCCAACAGTCTGTTAAGGCTATAGGGAGGATCTTTGTCTTTGCTTTAGTTTGCACTTTGCGTTTCCCTCTCGCGATATTCGCGCGGATGTAGCGTCCTCTAGCGGCCGGCAGGCAGACGCCAATTGCCATTACAAAGCAGGAACAAATCGAGAACACATTCCTGCAGAGGGAGCTGCTGGTAGGAACGTTGGGTTGCTCGGTCAATGGCCAGGGTCAACTGCGGCGTGGTGCATTCCGCAAATATGGCCGACTGTGAGGGCGGACCAAGCCGGCGTGAGTAGGTTAAACGTTGAGTTTTATAAGGGCACCACGGGGTGACCAGCCTCTTCCCACCCAGCCCCACCCCTCCCACCCCCCACCCAGCCTCACCCCTCCCACCCCCCACCCAGCCCCACCCTCCCCACCCAGCCCCTCCCCACCCTCCCCACCCTAGCCACCCCACCCAACCCCACCCTCCCCACCCTGCCCCTCCCTCCCCACCCAGCCCCTCCCTGCACGACGGACGGACGGACACAATAATCCCCTGTGGGCTGGTCTAACGAGGAGTTTCCTACCAGTATTATCATAGTTATTACTGCTACTACTACATACAAAGAGGGTTGAGAGGACTTCATCCTAGGAGATGGAGCGATGGTGGAATCGGCTCATCGAATATAGTGGAGCAGGTGCCGGGTGGATCGTTACATCCAATAGTGGATTGACCATGGCTGGTGGTGAATGTATAGGTGAGTGTATAGGTGAATCTTCTTGGTTCTTTCGGTAAAGTCACGTAGAAGGGAAGTAATAAAATAATAAAAATAAAACATAATAAAATAATGTATAGGTAAACTTTAGGTGAGTGTGGTGGTCATGTTGTTAGGTTGTTAGTCCCCTGCTGAGTGAGATTTACTTGGCAATCGATGCACCGATTTAGACACCAATCGTCACTGATGTTCGCCGTAGCAAGGAATCGAACTGAAGCGGCCGAGTTTGTAGCGCAGAGCGCTCGCCATTGCGCCACCGTGACCCACACAGACTCACACTCGAGACAAAGACAAAGACCTCCCGCGTAGACTCAACCGACTGTTGGGGCAAGCGATGTTAGCCAGCACGGCACACGAGGGGATGGGTGACCAACCCCACACCGGCCGCCTTTGTCTCCCGAGTGGCAATGTTTGCACATCGGAGCAGGTATTCATTTGAGGCTGAGTCGACCTAGGGGAGACCCAGGACTAGTTCAAATCATCGTCACTGGTGTTGACCGTGAGCGGGAATCGAACTCGGGTCGCCTGGTCCGCAGCTACTCACACACATGCACGCACACACACAAACACACACCCGTGTATAATTTCAACTGGAGCTGTCCAGGGCTGATCTCAGGAAAATCTCCGTCCCCCCATAGCTACCACCCCAGCCCCCCACCCCTCTGCTATCTGCAACTAGGGGGAGGGGGAGCCTAAAAAATATTCCATAAGAAATTAAGCTCCGTGCATCACCCCTACCCACCATATACACACGCACACACAACACCCATGCACACACACACCACCACGAGCTCTCTCGCATAGAGAACGCGGTCCAGGGACTGCTCCTCTATCATAGCTGTGCGTGTGCGTCCTGTGTACACAGACACACGCGTACACACACCACCCATATATATACACACCACCGCTCGCGATCTCGCATAGAGAGAACACGGTGCAGACACAGTCGCGCACGATTGCTCATCTCTCATTGCCGTGCGTGTGTGCGTGCGTGTGTACACACACACACAGACACACAGGCACACAGAGAGACGGCAGCGTATACACACAGTGCTACAGGCTACACACAGGCTACACACAGGCACACAGGAGACACGTCAGGGAGACACGGCAGGGAGACACGGCAGGGAGACACGTGTAGCCTATTGCAACCGCAATGGAAGCGTAGCGTTGAAATTGCATTGCGGGCAGGCAAAGATCATGTTTAGATATTGAATTAAAAAAAATCATTGTTTTATTTTATTTTCTTAAATATTTTACGCGAAATAGCCACGACCACCACCACCACCCCACCTCACCCCCGGGGGGGGGGGGTGTTCGTGACATGCGTGGGAAGCAAAGCCGCGGGGAACAATGGAAGAAGAAGGACCGCTAAGGAACATCGCCAGCGGACACCGCGGTGGAGGGGGTCGCCGGGGAGGTGGGGGCGCGGAGGATGCAAAGGCGGCCGTGGGGAGGTGGACTGCAGTGCGCGCAATGTGACTGACGCTGGGAAGGAATTATTCATCGATATTTAATCACTGAGAGTCGGATCGTCTAGGTGAGTTACATTTTTATTTTTTATAATCAACGGAATTGGTGATGATGATGGTGGTGATGGTGGTGATGATGATGGTAATGATGATGGTGGTGATGGTGGTGATGGGGAGCGGTGGTGCAGTGGTTAGCGCTACGCTGCGCAACGAACCCGGCCAGTCCGGTTTGATTCCCGCTCACGGCCAACACCGGTGACGATTATCTGAACCGGTCCTGGACCTCCCCTAAGTCGACTCAGCCTCAAATGAGTACCTGGTGCGGTGTGTAAACATCGCCACTGGGGAGACAAAGGCAGTCGGGCGTGGTGCTGGCCACCCACCCCCTCCTGTGCCTTCCGGCCTTCATATGTACTTTGAACTTCTTTTGCACCGTACGTAGCCAACCGTGCTAATTGGAGGTGCTACTCGCCAACAGCACTTGTCCCAACAGTCTGTTACAGGCTATACGTCTTTGATAGTGGTGGTGGTGATGGTGGTGGTGACGGTGGTGGAGATTGTGTTGGTGGTGGTGATGGTGGTGGTTGGCGATGGTTGTGATGATGTTGGTGATGGACAATACTGGGGGGGTTAGAGGCGAGGGAGCATTCCGGATCTAACCGTGCGCTCTGATTGCGAAGACAGTATGTGTGTATACTGTCATAATAACAACGCTACCAGATGCTGTCAGTAATGCAATACGCGTCGGGGTAGGCGAAGATGTGGCACGTGCGACATATAGAGACGTGGGGTGGCAAATGACGGCAGCTCCCCTTCCGAGGACAAAGTCTGTAATAATAGACACAGCGTATATATACTATCACTTACAATATATACTATCACTTACAATATATACTATCACTTACAATATATACCATCACCTACACTATATACTATCACTTACAATATATACTATCACTTACAATATATACCATCACCTACAATATATATTATCACTTACAATATATACTATCACCTACAATATATACCATCACCTACAATATATACTATCATATTACAATATATACCATCACTTATAATATATACCATCACTTACAATATATGCCATCACTTACAATATATACTATCACTTACAATACATACTATCACAATATATACTATCACTTACAACATACACACTATTACTGGCAGTCGATATATTGTAAATCATTGACGGACGAGAAGGCGGGGTATGATAATAGTACGAGAAGGAGGGGATGCACGCGGAGCCAACGCGCAGGTCAGTTCGCCTGAACACTACAGGTGTAACACTACAGGTGTGACACTACAGGTGTGACACTACAGGTGTGATACTACACGTGTGACACTACAGGTGTGACACTACAGGTGTGATACTACAGGTGTGACACTACAGGTGTGACACTACAGCTGGGATACTACAGGTGTGACACTACAGGTGTGACACTACAGGTGTGACACTACAGGTGTGACACTACAGGTGTGATACTACAGGTGTGACACTACAGGTGTGACACTACAGCTGGGATACTACAGGTGTGACACTACAGCTGGGATACTACAGGTGTGATACTACAGGTGTGAACACTACAGGTGTGATACTACAGGTGTGGCACTACAGGTGTGACGCTACAGCTGGGATACTACAGGTGTGAACACTGCAGGTGTGACAACTGTGAACACTACAGGTATGATACTACAGGTGTGATATTACAGGTGTGACACTACAGCTGTGACACTACAGGTATGACACTACAGGTGTGACAGGTGTGACGGCCGGGAATGGTGCTGGTCACCCATCCCTTCGTGTGCTGTGCCGGCCCTCATTGGTGCTACTCGCTCACAGCACTTGCCCCAACAGTCTGTTCAGGTTATACGGGGTATCTTTGTCTTTGTATAGGGAGCGGTAGTGGAGCGGTTCGCGCGCTGTGCTACGAACCTGGCGACCCAAGTTCAATTCCCGCTGATGCCAACACCAGCAACGGTTATCTAAACCGATAATGGGTCTCCCCTAGATCGACTCAGCCTGAAATGAGTACCTGGTGCTGTGTGTAAACATCGCTACTGGAGAGACAAAGATGGCCGGGTGTGGTGTTGGCCATCCACCCTCTCGTGTGCCGTGCAGGCTTTCGTAGGTGCTCGCTAACAGCACTTGCCCCAACAGTATGTTCAGGTTATACGGGGGATCTTCGTCTTTGTCATGTCAGTGTAAGTAGTCTTGCATACGTCTGCCTGTGTGTTGTGAGTTGAACTTCTTTCGCACCGCACGTAGCCAACCGCGCTCATCTGAGGTGCGGTGGAAGAACAACAAACTAAACACAACAAGCAGTTCTAAAGAAATGAGCTCGAGTCTCTTCCTCATATCTGAAGGAAGAGCGTTCCAGACGGCCGAAGAAGCGCATCTGAAAGCGCGCGATGCAACGACCATATTTGTTCGAAGGCTGAGCCAAAAGCTGCTACAGCGAAGATGATCGGAGTTCGCGTGATGGTTCATGCCCCTTGACGAGATTAGCAAGGCATTGTGGTTCATTTGTGGCTTGTGTGTAATGAGTGCAAACTCATAATGTATTCGTTCAGCAACCGTATGTCTCTATGTACGTGTGTCAGTGTACCTGTGTGTGTGTACGTGTGTCAGTGTACCTGTATGTATGTACGTGTGTCAGTGTGCCTGTGTGTGTGTACGTGTGTCAGTGTGCCTGTGTGTGTATGTACGTGTGTCAGTGTACCTGTGTGTGTGTACGTGTGTCAGTGTACCTGTATGTATGTACGTGTGTCAGTGTGCCTGTGTGTGTGTACGTGTGTCAGTGTACCTGTGTGTGTGTACTTGTGTCAGTGTACCTGTGTGTACGTGTGTCAGTGTGCCTGTGTGTGTACGTGTGTCAGTGTACCTCTGTGTGTGTGTACGTGTGTCAGTGTGCCTGTGTGTGTGTACGTGTGTCAGTGTACCTGTGTGTGTGTGTACGTGTGTCAGTGTACCTGCGTGTGTGTGTACGTGTGTCAGTGGACCTGTGTGTGTGTACGTGTGTTAGTGTACCTGTATCTTCGCCGGTTGGAAACATTTAGGCTGGCCTGCCTACGATCCATCCTGGGTTTAACCAGGCTGGATTGTGTGAGGAGCTCACAAATCCTTGAAAGATCTGGGCAAAGTCCCATCGGTGAGCTCCTCCGGCAGGCAAGGCTGCGTTGGCTGGGTCATGTAGCCCGCATGCCCAGCCACCGCATGCCTAAACAGCTTTTGTTCGGCCGGATCGAGGGAGCTAAACGGGCGCGGCACGGGATAGAGAAGAGATGGAGTGATGTGGTACAGGAGGACGTAGAGCTGAATGGACTTGCCGATGACTGGTACCATCGGTGTCAAGATTTGCCTCAGTGGAGGAGGCTCGTGAAGGACGCTACTGGGCAGTTGGAGGCAGTCGCCCTCCAACAACAACGGAGGGCGGAGGAGCGACGATCACAACAACAAACGGAGCGCCGGGTGGCTAAAGCACAGCAAGTTGGTACAGTAGGGGGCAAAGGTGGTGCATCAGCCAGTCATCTCAGTCATCTCGGTCATCTCGGTCAGTCGACCCGTGGCACCTGCTGGGTCTGCCCCGTGACCTCCTGCCAGCGGGCGTTCGACACTTCACGTGGCCTCAAGGTGCACTTGGCCTGGCACAAGCGTCATGGTGACGTCACCGCCACTTAGTGGCGAATGGCGGTTGTTGTTGTTGTGTTGTTGTTGTGTACCTGTGTGTGTGTACGTGTGTCAGTGTACCTGTGTATGTACGTGTGTCAGTGTACCTGTGTGTCTGTACGTGTGTCAGTGTACCTGTGTGTGTGTACGTATGTCAGTGGACCTGTGTGTCTGTGTACGTGTGTCAGTGTACCTGTGTGTGTGTACGTGTCAGTGTACCTGTGTGTGTTTACGTGTGTCAGTGTACCTGTGTGTGTACGTGTGTCAGTGGCGAATGACAAATATCTGAACCGGTTATTGTTCATGGATTCTCATAGGTCGGCTCAGCATTAAATGAGTCGCTGGTGTGATGCGTGCACTATTAACACTGGGGAGACAAAGGTGGCCGGGCGTGGGTCCTTGGCCCAACAACATCTTACACCATGCCGACCTTTATCGGCGCTCGCGAACAGCACTTGTTCCAATAGTCTATGTAGGCTATACGTTGGTCCTTGTCTTTGTATGAGTGTAGCTGTGTCTTTGTGTGTCTGTGTGTAGCTGTGTGTAGCTGTGTCTGTGTGTAGCTGTGTCTGTGTGTAACTGTGTGTAGCTGTGTCTGTGTGTAGCTGTGTCTGTGTGTAGCTGTGTCTGTGTGTAGCTGTGTCTGTGTGTGGCTGTGTCCGTGTCAACGCACTGCGCTACGAACCCGGCGACCCGCGTAAAATTTCTGCTCACGGCCAACACCAGCGGCGAATCTGTGAATCGTTCCCGGTCCTGTCCTCGGTCGAGCCAGCCTCAAATGAGTATCTCATGCATTGTGTACATGTCAGCGATAGGGAGACAAAGGCGGCCGGGCGTGGTGCTGGCCACCCTCCCCTTCGTGTGCCGTGCCGGCCTTCATAGGTAGGAGAATGTGTGGAGGGGAGTGGAGTGAGATGAGAGGGGATAGGAGATCGTGGGGATGAGCAGCCTCCCGAATAATCTGTGGCGTGTGGAGAAGCCGGATTCGAACCAAACGAAGCTCTTCATTTTAGTCCGAGCCTACCTAGGGGATGGCCCGTGCCAGGTGTCGCCGTGGCGAGATGTTAATTATCTCGCCTGGTATACAGGAGATCGTGGGTTCGATTCCGACCCTGCCGACTCCTGCTGTATATTTGGAGTTTGCGTGCCTCTCTCCCTGTGATGGCGTGCGTTCTTCTCCGGCTCCTGCGGGTTCTCCCTCCACGTTTCGACTCAGCGCCACGCGTTCATAGCATTTGGCTGCTGCTTCACATTTCCGCGTGATGATGATGATGAGAAGCCACTTCGTTGAGCTATCATTTGTGATAGCCAGGTGGCTTCTGAAAAAGAGTTACATAGCTCAGTGGGGCCTTATCTCGTAAAATTAAAATAGTGGCA